TATGACTACACAATTGAAGCCCTGCCTCTTTATTGGCCTTTTTTTTTCTTTTGACACTCCCATCCCACCCCACAGATACCCCTGGCCATTGCAAGGCAGAGCCAAAGTAGTCTCTCAAGCTACTGCACTGCTTCTCTGGCAACTTCTTCTAGAGTCCGAGACATCACTTCAAAACGATGAACTTTTCTCCTTGAGATTAATGAGCCCGTTTCCCCTGTTGCTTCTGCAGATTAAAACACAAATAAAAATGCCAGCTTTTCACCTCTAGCAATAGCTGTAATCCTTTTTTAATATACGCTGAGCTGGCTTGATTGCATAGGAATGCAAGAACTAAAATCTGTAAATTAAGATAGAACCCTGGAACCGAAAAATATACAAGAAATGACTTTCAATCTTGTAGAGAAAAGTAAAGTTGTACAGTAGAACAAGTAAGAATTTGAAATGATTTAAAGCCACCTTGTGAATGAAGCATTGTTTTACCAGGCACCCAAAAATGCAAAGGGAAGGACATATACAGAAGACGGTCTCAGCAAGAATCAGGATAGGGCCCCACAGCAGGTAAATTAGAAGGCAAGCTAGATGAAATATTAAGGGTTTGCAATACAGCATGTTGAAAGCATGACATTAGCCCCATCAAAACATGGCTACTACAGTGGGCATAGTAAATAATTAAAACTGAACAAGTTGCTCCCTGACACTCATTTTAGTCCCATAAATTACTTTCAACTTTTTTCTGAGCATGCTTCCAAACAAAACAAATGACAGCAGCCACTTCCCCCTTTTCTTAATTTCTAAAAATGTCTCATTCTGGGAAATAAAAGTAAATTTCAGCGTACTAGTGTCCCATTTGATTTTTTTAACTACAAGAATCTAAAGGAAAAAAATTAAGTTGGACAGGGAGTCTGGCAGGCATCAAAGGGAGGTTCTACCCACATGTTGAATACCCACTTTGTGGACCATCCTTCATGAATAGCTAGCTGTCAATAAGGTATTTGTGGAAAGGTAACTGAGTACATGGCAAACCATGAACCAGAGCTATGGCAATAGTAAACCACTCATCATGTGACCAATATTAATGTGAATCCCCAGTCTCCAGACTGTAAAGATCTGGACACTTAGAAGCATGCCCTGGAAAGCACAGATTCATTTGACCTCCTCCTATATGAAAAAGGAAAGAAGGCATTATCTCCTAGCCAGATCGTTTGGCAACAGGGTGACCAATTTTATTGGCAAAGTTCTCCAATGTGGCAAACAGTTATTCAGCATGTGTGACTTCTGCTGGAATCAGCTGTATCTTCATTCCTGGCTACTGGATCCATAAAGATGCCTTAATGAATAAATCTCAATGCACAAGTCTTCCTTGGATTCTGGAACACAAAAGCAGGGTCATGGTTAAAAATTGTGACCCTGTTGATCCTTTAAACACTATTTGCCCCTTGACAGAAGTAACATACGAAGGGGGCTTATGTGTACAAATGAACAATGCTTGTCAGTCTGCATTGATTGGGGCTCTTCTGTATACGGTATTCTAGATATACTTTGTGAGTGCACACATATTTGCAGTTCTCATGAATATCATTTGAGGTTAAAACATAATATATCTTTAGTATACAACTGCAACTATTGAGTGCTGTCTACTAGGAGAATTCTGGTACAGGCTAACCAAAGAGTTGTATCCATGCTTCTGTAAGTTATTTAAGGTATGTCAGTGTTACATTATTTATACAGAGTTTGAACCAACATTTAGATAAACTGAAGGATGGAAATACTAAAAAATCAAACAGACATTTCCACAAAGTTATTTGTACTTGCATTAACACACCAGGAAGGAATGCCCAGCAATAATCCATAGGCTAAGATGTTTATGATCTTAACCAGCACAACAAATAAGCAAAGTGCAGAGTTCCAATTCATCTTCCATTTCAGCAAAGCATGAAGATGAATTAATTTAATAATTAATAATAATTAATTAATAATTATTAATAATTAATAAATTAATGAAGATGAAGTAATTTGGCACTG